TTTTGTGGACACGTCTTACGTAATTAATAGCACACTTATTTTTCATGGATAATACATCTTGGCAAACAAGAGATCTACAAATGTGTACGATAAATTTGTCCTAAACGTACTAGAAAATGTATTTTAAAAAATTTCTGAGGTTAGCAAAAAAATCCGTGAAAATTCACACTTCGAAAAAACTATTCCATATAAAAAATTAACACACAAAGTTTCAGTATTACATCATTCTGTGAAAGATTGGATGAAAAATGGTGGAGTATATCTAGAAAAACCACGTTTCGAGAAAACGTGAGATGAAGAAAAATAATAGATTGACCATGAGAAAATGGTGGTGATAAACATACCCGGTACAAACAAAGCTTTAGTGGGTAGGGAGGCTGAAGAATCTTAAAATAGGGCTGGAGTCTGCTCGATTAATTGAAGGTTTGCGAGCAGTTTGCGCTTTGTAATTGAAGGCTTGCAAGCAGGTTTGTGCTTTGCCCGCTACCGGAGTTGCTACTCGTGGACGGCGGACGGGCTTACTGATTTGTGTCGTGACGTCAGAAACTCTTGTTTACTGAGCACGCTGACATGCCCCAAATAACCCTCACACTTCCAGCGATGGAGCTGTTTGGGGAGGGGAGGGGAGGGGGTGGTATGGCTGGGAAAGCGAGAAGTGTTCGCCACCCCTCGCTTTCCGTAGAGCCCGCCACTCCCCTTATGCCTCCTGTCGTGACAGGGTTTTATTTGTCTTGGTTTTTTTGTTTGTTTGTTTGTTTGTTTGTTTGTTTGTTTTTTGTTTTGTTTTACAAACAGCAAAGTTATAAACTCTCAATTTACGTTTATAGTACAGCGGAGTTCAGAAGCATTTGAAGAGATTACTTTCACTTTACTATTACTTCTAATGGCTGCTTATCTTGTGCCTTTTCATGTTGAGCACGATCCTTGTTAATGATGTACTGGTTGAAACTACATGTATCTTCATTAGCTTGCCCAGCTTCATGACTACAGCATATGTCACACTCGTCCTTTTTAGGATGAAAACGGGACGACTCAGAGGTTATTCATGACATTTCTGAGTATAGTAAACACCCTTAAAACGCCATATCGAACAATATCACATAAACAGAACAGTACTTTATACATACCTGAAGTCATATTTCGTGTACTTCTCAGATCGATGCTGCATTCGCAAAATCGTTTTGCGGATTTATTTCTCACTCAGTTTCCTTGCAGTTACCGATTGTCATTTGCACTGTCTTAGTTTAATGCTTAGAATAATTACCGTTTTTCCAAGCAGTTATTGCGTGTGTTGACACAAAAGTACGTCTCTTCGAAAAGAAACCATAGTTTCTTTGGAAATGCTTCCAGTTGTCACTAGAATAGCAGGAGGGCCTTCCTTATCTTGCTTTTGTAATTATTGAAATAATGGCACAGGAAGCATCTGGTTGCTAGTCCTAGAAACTATTGTATCTGTTTGGGTGTTTTTTTTGACGTTTTGTTCTTGCTTGCAGCCAGTCCATTCTCGGCAACAAGATATCTGGAGATTAATGAACAGAGAAAGTTAATTACGAATGTTTACTTCAATGGGAATTACTGCTTGAATTAAGTTAGTGGAAACAAATGGAAGGAAACTGAGAATCGAAAATATACAATCAATTAAACCCTCTCCCGAATGGATACAATTGTAAAACACGACTTACGGGTTAAGCAATTCCATATAATACGCAGAAAAATGTTCTAACATAAGGAAAGGCAAATAGTTATAATTATTTTGTGTGTGTGTGTGTGTGTGTGTGTGTGTGTGTGTGTGTGTGTGTGTGTGTGTGTGTGTGTGTGTGTGTGTGT